GTTGTGCCTAAGGAAAGGGATCCTGCTAAAACTTGAAGTCAAGATAACCCATCTGTTTAAATAGTGACACCCATTTTGAACAGGGAGAGACTGTCACCTGAATCTACCGATTTTTATTTGTCTGCAGCCTTTGGATGAGGCCAAAATGGGTTCTGAACTTGATGTCTGAACTTCCTGACATCATTGCTTGTATGCAAAATCTGTTCATACACAGAAAAATATGGCCCGTGATTGCAGCCAATTAGCCCTGCCAGCTTGCTGTGCCTGACAGTGCACCTCATTAGCCAGTACGAAATTCAACAGCAAATCAACTCAGTCTTCAGATTCATACAGCATCTGTTCAGGGTAGCCCAGTGCTCTGTCCATCACTTTTTCTACTGGCTCCAGTGCAGCCTTACTGAGGAATGATTGCTTTGGTTATCAGCAGTGGCGTGAACATAATCATGTCACATTGCGAGGATCTAATGAGCCTTATGAGGCACTTGATGCTCCATAGTTGCTTTGACATCAGAACTGCTCCATGCTGGCTGCCGCAGAGCAGTATCACAAGGTGAGTTCCTCATGCTAATCGTTAAGGCAAGTTACTGGCTGAAAGTGAGCTGGCTGCCCAGCCTGTTCAAGGTGCTCACAAACCTGGTTTGTTCTGCTTTGTAGCCTGTTTGCATGCAGGACTGTGCTGGGCAAAAACCAACCAGGTGCTAGAGGAAAGGAGGAGTTAAAGCGGAACACCTATGCTGTAACTGGTAGGAAGCCGAGAGGAAGTTTTGTGTTCTCAGCCCTGCAGTCACTGTTTACATGCTCCAGGTTGAATTTTGTTCTCATGGAAATAGCTGCAAAGCTACTAATGTCAGTGAAGAATCACCTGCTTATTTCAGATCTAAATAGAGCTTGCTGTACCATCACTCACTTGCTCAGAAAGTTGAGTAACTCTGTCTTTTGTTGCAGCAGAGATGTGTGTTTTATCATGATTTTTATAAAGTGCTTTGAAATCCTTTGATAAAAGCTGCTTCAAGTATGTAAATTGTTTATGTACTTAGAAGGGGAGAGGGAGGAGCTGAGCAATACAGTGGTACAGCCAAATCTTTGGGTAGATCAACAACAGTCAGGACCTCTGAATCTTGACTGTTTGAAATAGAAGTCCTGGAGCCTTAATTGAGACTGCAGCAGCCTGTGTATGCAACCTAGCCACTCCTGGCTGGAGACAGTGAGACGTTCATGGTGACTGTGCATTTAGCCAGGGGGCTTTTGCCTTCCTTGTTTACTGCAGGTAGTGTCGTATCCATCTACTCTTCTATATTCCTCTGGTCCTGGGAATAGGAGAGCTGTTTCCCATCTGGTCCGTGCTACCAGGACCAGTTATGCTGTCTGCTTTCTCAAATCTCCCCCTGTCAGTCTCGTGCTTAATGTTCTCTTTAGCCATATGTGCTGTACTTACCAGTTGTCCTGCTTCTGTTCTTTCTCTTCCTTGCTGCAAACCTTTCAAGGGTGTGCCTTCTGGGAAACAAGATGTGTTTCATATATTAAAGTTCAAAACTACAGGGACTTGCTCACTTGGTCCTCAGCGAGTTTTTGCCCAAGAATCAATGTGAAAGAAGCTGTTTTGTAGCTACCCAAGTTCATAGGTCCATGTAGAGCAGAGAACCTCAGTCTTCAAGCTTTGGGTTTAGGTTTATTTAGAGTGTCAGATCTTCAGGGCACAGCCCTGTGACACTGTGTACAGTTCAGGTGTGCAAAACACTCAGTGCCCCAAAGTTGTTTGTACTACCTTCCACCTGTCTGGGACAACTCAGGTGCCAGGCTCTTGTTTTCTTTTTCCTGCAGCATCTCAGGCTATGGAGCTGCTGGTGGGAAAGGAGGGAAGAACACCATGGTGCGGTCCCACGGCGTGTCTGTGCTGGGAATTTTTGACCTCCAGAAGGATGATACTTTGTATATCTTGGTGGGACAGCAAGGAGAAGATGCTTGTCCTAGTGTAAGTGATTGCCCTTTCTGTTTTGCTTTAATCCCTTCTACAAATCCATGGGGTTTTATCTGTTTACAGAGAAAACCATTGTCCTTGAGGGGTTTGGGGTTATATGGTTCAAAGGATAGCTACAGTTTTACTGGAGGGCATGAATGTGAAAAGATGAAGTACCATGTCACTGTGCTCACTTCCTCTTCAACATTCAGGCCCCATTAATAATATACTACGGGTTCCTGATTGATCTGCATATCTCAGAGCATCTGTGTGGGTTTTCGGAGAGAAAATACAACCCTGCCTTCCTTTCCTCCGGAGATCAGTCTTCAAGGTTGACTTCACAAAGGCGTTGTCTTTGTTCTGCCGTTGAGCCCAGTCCTGCTGTTATCATAGTACTCTGCAATTCTGGAGACACCCACCTCACAGGGCCTGTTTGGTTATTCTCTGTATGGGAATGAGAGAGACAAATTAATCACTGCTGGGTCAGTCCTGATTTTTGTATTACTAACCAATTGTTGCTGCACATGCCTTGACAGAAAGGTGCAACTTCCACTATTTGCAGGAACAATAATCTATTAATCGTTTAGTATTCTTTGGAGGATGAGGGAATAGGAGATTCTTATGGAGGAAACCAAGCATTATCTGATGAAATTTCACTTATAGGTTTGAGCTGGACATAATGCTGTGCATTTCTCAACTGCTAATGGCTGGCATCCAAGAGATGAAAGCTTAGCAGTCTGTTACAGCAGAGAAAGGTTGAAGGATGTAGACAAGAAAGAGGGGTTCTGGAGGCTGGGTGCTGAAGTAAATAATGTTAAAACTGGAATTATACGTATCTACAAACAAACCATTAATATGAAGCCTCTTTAAAATGAGAAATGCCGTAACTCAAACTTCCATCTAACGTCTATAACTAGGACATTCCAGCTGAGTGTAATATATAGACTCATTAAATTGCAGGCCACTGTAATCTTAGTGAGAATTTATTGAGTGCTAATGTAATTCTTTCATTGAGGCAAAGAGATTGCATTGACTTGTAGAAGGGACTTTTACTAGATTGGATTGTAATCAGTTATGTCTTTGCCATGAAGGATTTTTTTTTTTTAATTCAATTGTAATCTAGTGGTTCCTTTGGGTCATTGACTTTGTCATTTTATTAATCATTCCCACCCAATTCCAAATCAATTAAGGAGAGGGAAGACTAGGGAAAGGAGGATTGTTTAGTTCCATAGGCAAGTCTGCACATACAAAATGGATGCCATTCATTCTCTGGCACAACCTAGGACACATTTTGTGGTCAACAGAATAATTTGTAACTTGAGGATGCTTTTATCATGTTCCTCTTCTAAAAGAAAACACATATGTGAAAGTAGAAGGAAACATAAGGTCAATCCTACTATAACTGTTTGTGCATTTTTCCCTTAAAGTGTTCCACTTAAAGTGACTTAGTGAGTTCAGTGTGCATAACAAGACAGTATTGCTGAGATGAAACACATAAAGTAAAATAAGCTGGAAGCAAAGCTTGCAACTTAAAAATACTCACAGCAGAGTCCTGTTTGTCATGCAGTTTAGTGCTCCAATTTAAAATCGAAGCGACAGTTACCTCTCTTGGATCATAGTCCAGAAGTACTTATAAATGATGGTTTAATGCTGTATTTTACGTCAGTTAGTGAATTCAGTCATTTGCCTAATACAGAAGGTTCATTACATTTGGTGCTAATTGGTGGAGGGGAAAAAAGTGCTAAGTAGGAAATACAGAGGCTTTTTAGTGAGGTATTTTCTTTAACATCAGGTCAAGATCGCAATCAAAGGTGGCACTGCAGCTGTTTTGGTAGGCTTTGAACTAGCCAGCACTGGTAATTACAGTAAAATTGCTGCTACAGCATAAGCATCAGATCAACATCAAAACTTACTTGGAAGTCTAGATAAATATTAGGTAGCTAGTCTATGCTGAGCTCATTGCTACTGTCCGTTCTATGACTACCTAGGTTAAAGCTAGCTCTAGTACATCTACATGAGCCACCAATACACCTTAGTTCTGGATAGATGCACGCTGGCTGCCTGGCCCCAACCCATGGGGCACTGGAAGAGCAGTAAAGAAACTTGGGTTCTCTCTGATTCTGCCATTTGGCTGTTATGTGACATGGGGCGAGTCACATCATCGCTGAGTTACTCCGTTCCCCTACTTGTGAAATACAGATAGTTAATGCTGGGAAGTATTTGCAGTAAATTCTGCTACATCTTGTATGTTAAAAGTTTATGGAGCTTATTTTACAGGGTAATAGATATCAGCACTGAGCTTGCTTCAAAATAATTCAATTAAAATGGCAACAAATTCTTCTGATGAAGGTTGAAGCAGAAAGCAAGATTCTTCTAGAAGAGCATTCACTTGCTTCTGCTTATGTAGTTTCACTGGAGGACAATTTATTGGTTTGGGAGGGTGAAGGGTCCACGAGGCCTGTGTGTGTACAAGGACATGGAGATTTCTTACCAGAATTCAGACGTGGTCTTCTATTTGCAGACTAATGATGTTATACAGAAAGTCTGCATTGGAGAGAACAATGTGATTGAAGAAGAGATACGGGTGAACAGAAGCGTCAATGAATGGGCAGGAGGAGGTGGAGGCGGGGGAGGTGCAACTTACATATTTAAGGTACGGAAACATACTTCCCGCACACCTTCAGCATGAACACATCCTGCCACTTGCCTCTAGTACTCCAGCCTGAAATATCTGAGAACCCTTTATACACCTCTGGGGAAGGGTCCACAAAGTGAGCTCCAGGTATCCTTCATTTCCAGTTGATAGCTGTAGTGAGCCGCGTCAGCCCTTCACACTTCTTAGGACTGCTACAAAGTATGGCCACACTTGCATCAGTGGCTTGGAGTTTCCTTTGCAAACATAATAGTTTGAACTGGAGGTTTTTTTCAATGCAAGCTGAGATGCTGAAGCATAATTCTACAGCAAAGGGCAAATTCCACAAGACTTTATTCAAATCTGTCATTGTGGAACATTAGACTTCAGCTACCCCTTTGGCCTATACGGTGCAATGACAAGAAAAGTTGAGGATAACCTGTATGTTTTCTGTTGGCAACCCTATAGCTAGGGACCACTGATCTTTTCTGTCATGTGCTAGCTGAGACAGTACTCATTCCAAACACCAGTTTTGGGCATTAACAATATGTTTAGATCTCTCAGCTTCTACATAATTCTACATAACTCCACATGCTCAGTTAGTTTCCATTGTAGCAGTCCTTTACCAGTGGAGACGCTATATTGCACTATACAGAGCAGTGCTCCTTAGCTATTTCATTTGATGAAAATCATCATACGGTAACATTACAAGCTTTCTAAGAGCCTTCAGCACTGTAGGTACAACTCACAGAGCTGCTGATGCCAATGTCCTGTGTTGCAGAACTTGGTGGGACTAGTGCTATTCATTAATCTTTTGGATGTGGATGAATAAATAATGCAATGGCAATTTGTAGTGCCAGGCAGCCCTAGATGCCTGCTTAGTGCAACATGCAGTAACTAGCATGTGGTTGAACTTCCATTTGTGTGTCTGACTCAGTTTGAACACTGCCTTTATTTCTGAATTTGTTAAGATGGAGAATGGAGAACCGGTCCCCTTGATAATTGCAGCAGGAGGTGGTGGCAGGGCCTACAGGGCCAAAACAGACACATTTCATCCAGAAAGGCTGGAGAATGATTCCTCTATTCCAGGGTTGAATGGAAATTCAGGAGCTGCAGGTAAGGAAAGTTTATTCTTTTTAAGAAAACCTTGGTGAATTTGTGATACTCCCAGATTCCTCCTCACAAGGAGGTGAGGTGAAACTCATGAAAGCACAGTTTAGGGGGAACACAGAAGTATAACGTGCATATAGGATGTACCCACAGTGCAGGATACTTGGCCTAAATAAGGGTATGGGAAATTATATAGCCATAGCAATGGCAACATTCTCCCAAAATAATGTAGTACCTCTCATAAGCAAAGTTTTTTAATTTTTGATGTGGGAATTTGCAGTGCCAATATGGCTATCCTGCTCCCTGCACTGTCTTGTGCTGTGTAGACATACTCACAGTTTCCCTGGCTTATGCAGAAAGAGCATAATTGCACCCTGGCTAGAAGTCTCTGTGAAGAGACCTTGGACTGAACAACCAGCAGAGCTGAAAGTGAGTCATTGGTGAGTACGTTGTATTTAGAGCGGGGCTGGGACATGTTTTCATATCCCTTTCACTAAATTCCTTTTATTTCACTTCAGAACTGACATAGGGTTTTTGCAAAGAGAAGGGGAAGGCTCTGTAAGCCAGAAACAAGTGGTTTTGGGGAGTAGTCAGGGATATCTTTTTACATTTTCCATAGAAAATACTTGTCCTTGTATGGTAGGTGAAAAGAGGTGCAGATGATTAACGTGGTCAAAAGCCCTACAGAAAGGTCTCTGTAGCACTGTGTAGCAAGCACATCCCCTCTTCTAACCAAGGCATGAGATTCTTACTTTCAGCTGAGATGCTTTGAAGGAGTGTTTGTTCTGCAGATCCCTGCAGTGTTTTTTACACAAAAATAACCCTTACCTGTGCCTTTTCTCTTCTCTTAACTGCAGGTGGTGGAGGTGGCTGGAATGATAACACTTCCTTCCTGTGGTCAGGAAAATCCTTGCTGGAAGGTGCTACTGGAGGAAGATCCTGCCCCCAGGCCATGAAGAAGTGGGGGTGGGAGACAAGAGGGGGTTTCGGAGGGGGTGGAGGGGGGTGCTCCTCAGGTGGAGGAGGCGGAGGATATATAGGTAAAGTGGCTTCATGTTCAAGGTGTCCCTTCCCCTCCTTTAGTGCTAATGATCAGCAAAATGCTGATAGATAATTCTCCTGTAGCTAGCGTATTTGACTATTATGTACTAGTATGTCTGTGTGTTGCCTTTTTAGCACTAGATGAACGTATGGCATTTAGTCTTTGAGCAAATAGCCAGATGTCAGTCCTTCAGCTGTAATCCTGGCTTTGCGCTCTGCAAAATGTGCCATCAAGATCCTGCTGTGATTCTTGACCTTCCATTTTGGGGTTGTAGTGCTGAAGAAAGAGGAGCCGCAGGCTATGTGCTCCCATTGCCAGCACCTGTGTTTTGAGGACTTTGGTCCGGGAGATTGGCAGCCAGGCTTTATGCCGGGGAAAGATGGAGCTTCTTCTACCCTGCCCTGCTGTGGGTGGGCCTTGGTCCTGCACAGGTGGTCTCTGGGGGCAGAGGCTCAGGCTGCCAGCCAGGACCCCTCTTAATAATGATGGTGGTGTTGACTTCAGTCAACGAGGAGCTCATTTCATGTGCTGCGGGTCTCAGGACAGCTGTCAGATGGCATTATGTTGATTATAACTGGTGTGGGCCAGATTCAAGATCTCTACTAACCCATAATCTCGTGGGCCACATAGTTTCTTCAGCCATCTGCACTGTGGTGGACTTTTTAACCCCTGGTTCTCCACAGCTTAAATCAAGTGTATGATAGACTAGGAATCCTGAGAGGAAGTAATGAGTTTAAATGATTAAATGCATGTTTTGTACCAATGTTGCTGTGTAATGCTTTTTTTTCCAACAGAATGCCTCACATGACGTAATTTTAATTTCACTGAAAATGGTTAAAGAGGGAAAGCCATTTTTGGGTGGGGTGGCGGAATCTTTGCATGCTTGTAGTACAAAATACATGGCCCATACTGTGCTTCTAATATGTTCTACATGCCCAAGCACAAATGAGCAACTCATAAATTCCTTCAGTCCCCGCTCCTGGTGGACCACCCTGCTTTCAGGGTGTAAAGGAGAGGAAGGATATCAGATTATTCATTCCATCTGCTGACACAGTACATACCTTGATCAGCAAGGGTACTGAACTTAGCCCTTGAGTACTGATGTTTTCCAGTCTCTTGGCTACATTAATTTTAAGAAGGGCTTATATGTTTCAAAGCATCCAAATGGTTAAAGATTAAGTTTGTGCCTTAGTTTGCAACAGTCTGCCTAAAACAGAGCTAAGACATTGATTAGTCACAATCTGCTGCTATTAAATTGAAGTTCTAGAGATAAAAGACCAGTGGTTCATGCCACAACACGCTAAGTGTTCCCTATATGTTAAATACTTTGATTTATTCTCTTTTCTCATTTGGATGCCTCCCTAAATATGCTGAAGTCATGCATGTTGCAATGCTTATCTGTATTTTAGTGCCAATGAGCCTCAGCCTGTTAAGATAACTTCTGGTTTGACATAGGTGGCAATGCTGCAGTGGACAATGATCCAGAGATGGATGGGGAGGATGGTGTGTCCTTTATTAATCCAATTGGTACTTTATACACTCCAGCACTTAAAGGTATTCATATTGGTCAGAAGTCTTCTAGTGTGTTTATTTCACGTTAAGAATAGTTTGCATCTGTTGGACATTTTAAGGGTACAGCTTAATGTCATCATGAACATGAGGAGGCAGAAAGATAGCATAACAAAGTCCAATGGAGAATAAACAGAAGTAGCAGGAAAAAAGCACGTGGAGAGGACATCAAGGCTATTAGAAAACACTTCCCAACAATATAGTCTACTAGCCTATAGAATAATTTTGGCCAAGGAAAGTGGTAACAGAACCTCATAGTTCAGATAATTTAGGAAAGAAACAGACAAAGCACCTGACTATTCACTAACAAACATGTTCCTTAGAGCATCCTTCAGCAAAGTATCCAGGTTGGACCAGGGAGTTTCTAGAGAAAACAGTGCAGTGCTGCCCAGCAGTGCGTGGATGTGATAAATACTGCCACTCTAGCCTGTATTTGCCCAAAAGTCAGTGTCTTGAATATGTTTGCGATGTGTTCAGAAAATACAAAAATATCTATTTGCTCAAAAAAAGTGTTTGCTTTAGAACAGCCAAAAGTGTTTTCAAATACAGATGCACTCTGGCCTGATAGATTCAGTCAGAAAGTTTTGAAAACATCGCAATGTTTGATCTCAGAGGGAGTAAAAGCCAGGAAAGAAAAGGGTGAGCCCCACGGACCGCTAAAAGGGCACGTTTCTCTTAGCCTTGGCAGCAGCCTCCTTACTAACCTGGTAGGACCATCTGCTCAAAGAAAGCCAAGTGTACCTCAACTGCAATGGGGCTAATTTAGATGGATGTTATTTTCTACATGAGAAAAGTACAGGAGCTATGGAAGGTGGGGAGAAATCTGTTTCTTAGACAGGACCCACCCTGCCACATCTGGCAACCGTGACCACCATGTCCCCTGTTTCTGTCAGTGCCCAAGGGAATGATATGAATGATCTTTACAGTAATTAATTCATCTTCTTTCATCCACTCCCTAGTGACAGAGGGGCACGGAGAGGTGGATATTAGGCTGCATCTTAACTGCAGTCACTGTGAGATGGACGAGTGCCGTGTTGATCTTGAGACTCAAAAAGTCATTTGCTTTTGTGAGCCAGGCACGGAGTTGGCTGAGGATGGTGTGTCTTGCATAGGTAAGTAGGTGTTATGGGGTAGGCTGCCAGCATGTGAAACAGAAAATGCATGGCAAAAATCTGTAGTTTGGACTGTAAGACATCCTGAAAGTGTTATCTAGCCTTTCTTAAAACTGGCTTCTGTTGAATGTTACCTTCTTTCCTGCTGGTATATGCTGCAGTGTTATTTTGCTAGGATATAAACACATCAGTGCTGAGGAATGGTGCACAGAGCAGCATTGCTGGTTTGCTTTACAGTATATGTTTGGCATACTGGGCAGCACTGAGAAGAGTCAAATTTTGTGCCTGGTTGCGCTGATGCTCTCATTCTGCTCTGAAGTCATGAAAGTTTGCTCACTGAAGGAATTTTCCAGCTAATCTTAAATTCCAGGTCAGTCCTCTTAAGAACCAAAAAAATGTACAAGGTGAAGGAGAATTTATGTTCCTGTGGATTTGGACATACAAGGTGCAGGTGGAGAGTCTATAAGAAATTCTGCGTGAGATATCTCTGAAGAAGACTAAAGACAGTGCCTGTACTTGCTTTACTTGAAAAAACAAGTGCTCAGAGCTCCATTACTAGGTTTCCTTCATATGCTTGCCCAGCAATTAGAGCAAGTGGCTCCAGGGTTTCGGGATCCTGCTCTCAGCTTTGTCACTGGCATGGGAAAATTGTTCTTTATTTTTACCATTCCCATCTGCAAAATGGGTGAAAAGCATGGTCATTTTGCCAGGGTGAAGTAAACCTTGATAGATGGTCATTGGATGCCTTGTGGTCCCAGGTGAGTTTGCAGCTATGGAATACTTTGTACTGCACTTACTGTTATCAGGTTTTTCTGCCTGGATTAGATGCATTTAGGAGATGATATATTGCAGTCCTCCTTCTGCTTTTGCTGTGATTTGGCATTGATAGCAGCACTTTAACCCTGGCAATGTAATGTTCTTTCCACCCCCCCCAACCTCCTGCCCTTCGTTTTTATGGTCTTGTTTTCATACCCAGGGAGTGCACATGTTAATTCATTGATAGCAAACCATCTGTTTTAACGGCTTGATATTAATTGAGGAAAGTGAAACAATGAGGTATTAGAGGTCATAGATCCTGAGACCTGATCATGCAAGAGGTTGCTCCTATACTACAGGAGCAGCAGATGAGTAAATGGAAGGAAGAGCAGAAAAATCTGTCTGCAAAAAAGTGGCTGCTGGAAGATCATTTCAAACATGTAATTCCTTCTTCTCCTGCCTCTGTTACAGCTGAGCCAGTGGTTCATCTCCCTCTCTCCTTGGTCTTGTCTGTAGTGACTTCAGCATTGGTAGCTGCTTTAATTTTGGCTTTTTCAGGAATCATGATAGGTGAGTGTTTCTCTCCAAAAGATACTTTCATATGAGGGCTGGATCTGAGCCAAGGATAATTGAGCCCTGGGAGGCAAAAGGATTCGGGTTTTTAGCTACTGCTGTATTTAATGACACCTTCCCACACACATGCCTTAACTTCAGATTTCAGATTTCTAGCCACAGTGAGCAATTTGAGAAGGTTTCAGTTACTGACTGCATCTCGAAAGAGACGTTGTTGCTTGTGTTGTAGTGTAAAGCTGCCAGAACACAACTGCCACTGGTTTTGTGAGAGCTGTTGGTGCTTAATGCCTAACAGCAAGCTTCTTTATTTGTGTACCTATATACAGATTTAGCCTCTTACTGTATGACATTTAAGCTTGAAATTCTCGCGTAGGTTCCCCTTTTACAAACTGCTACTTCATAGGATGTGGGAATTCTTGGCATCTTTATTTGAAATTCTAAAAGGTATTTTTCACCCTTTCGTTTTCTTATTTTAAACAATTGCTCACCTGCATTCGATTGCAAGCAGAATAGGTTTGAATCAATGAAAAGCAACCAGGGATTTAAACCACAGCTCCGCCACCTTTCTTTGTCCACACTGTATATAGTCTGGGGGAGGGGAGGGATGTACCCAGAGCAGCAAATAGCAACTATTAAATTAGATTTGCACAGCTGTTTCAGTTTTAAGAATTTCAGGAGTTATCAGCTGCACACACATGGTCCTACATGTATGATTTCTGGCCTGACAGTCTCCTTTAAAATAACTGATTCTCAGCGAGTGGAAGAGTAATCCTCTTTCCATCCAACTAGCCTATCGTTGCCATCTCAGGAAAGAGCAGCAATTTAAAAAATCAAAGCAAAAGCAATGAGGAGGAAAATGGAGGACAGGAAGGGTTTGTGGATAGGTCATTACATCTGTCTGCCTTTGCGAGTGCATGTTTACCCCTTAAATTCTTCCCCTGAGCAACATCTGCTGGAGAAGATGCAATAGCTATTACCGTCACAGTCTTTGGGCTCAATCCAACTCCCACAGAAATCAATAGTAAGGGTAATAGTGATTTAACCTGCTCACGATTGGCATCTTGCTTTGAAAAAAATACTGCAATATCAATTACTATTTCAAGGAAGATTCACAGGATCTTCTTTCAAGGTGTGATTTCTAATGACATTTCAGAAGTATCAGTGAAGTGATTCTAAGGTATATAACACTACCATAAACTGATTTCAAATTTAGTCCAACTCTGTTGTTTAGAAACAGAGGAAGTTTTGCAAAATGAGCTAGTTTTATGTACAATGTGTTATTCTGAGGTAACTGTTTAGTCTATCTATTTTGAACAACATGATGCAATAATTCATTTCAGATTTTAGTCACTTCTACGTGATTTAGGAAAGTTGGTTATACCCTGACTCCCTCAAGTTTGGAACTGGACTCATACTTGGAAGGTCCAGCTAAACTAAATAGAACAAAACAAAAACCTCAGAACTGTGAAATCAGAGATCTCGGCAAGCGAAATTCATTTTACTTCTTCCAAACAGTTCAAGAGCAAGCCTGTTTCTTCATGAGATGTGTAAATCAAAGGTTCCTGGATAACTTCAGATTCCATTTTCTGTCCGTAATTATTTGATGACAGTGGCACTGTCTGGTTTGATTCGCCGAAATTTGGCCACACAGCAAATTCCAGTGAGACATGCTGCACGGCTGCTATCCTGTTCCAAAGTCAATCTGTGTCTCTGGTTTACTGTGTTCTCCATATTTAGTATATCGTCGGAAGCATCAGGAGCTACAAGCCATGCAGATGGAGTTGCAGAGCCCAGAATATAAGCTGAGCAAGCTGCGTACCTCCACTATCATGACAGACTACAATCCCAACTACTGCTTTGCAGGAAAGACCACATCCATTAGTGACCTCAAAGAGGTGCCTCGAAAAAACATCTCCCTCATACGGTAAATTCATCTTTGCTTTCCCCATGCTTCACACTCATGTATGCTGGCTCTCTTACACAGATGTGAACTCATGTCTTTGTGCAGGCACGTACAAATTCTCATGCACTTCTAGGCTCATGCCCCTTTTCATAAGAAAGATGTAAAGCTGCAGTAGTTAGGCTTGTGTGGAGGGGACTAGACTTTGGCAGTCTCCTTAACCTTTTACAGGTGCAGTGTTAATCTTCTGGGATTATGAGAGGGACTGAAGAGTCATCACCACTATTTCAGACACATCTTTTGCAGACTGTGCAGTGAACGGCCCATTTCCAATATTAACTGATGAAATGCCGGGAAGGCTGAGGCTCTTTTAAAGTCTTTGATGGGATCTTTGGTAAAGACAATGATATCCTTAAGTACAATAGCAGGAAAAGCAATGGGTTTGAGACTGCCAGACAGTATTAAAAAGACAGGAATATAAAGCCAGCAGGATAGTCATGTCTAGATCAGAACTTCTGGAAAGTTCAAAATAGTCTCTTAAGAAAAACTTGAAAATTCAGAGTTCTTTCCCACCTTGCTCTACTGCAGGGTACAGTGCGTGCCACTTGTGAATGTGACATTACCCTTGTACCAAAAAGCCAAGAAGTGGAAGCAGGAGAGCTTGGAAGACTAGGGAGCTTACAGTGCTAAAAAAGATGATGCCTAGAGCAGTTCATGTAGTCTGCAATGTTTTGCTGTCTCTTATCTCATTCCCACTTACCTGCACATCTTGCTGGACTGCATCTGGAAGTTTCCAGTGTGCCCTGTGCTGCTGCTGCCTTTGTCACTTGGGCTTTGAAAGGATTTTTGAAATGTGGCAAGCTTCAGAGAGCAGAGGATACAGCTGGGAATTGATAAGGGCAGGGAAGGTGGGCTTTTTGGGAGGAGGGTGAGTTATGAGCTGTAGAGATCTGTTTTATACCTTCAGTTTGTAATAAGTTGGTCAGGCATAGCCAAAAATAGTGTCTCAAGCTGATACCTACAAAATGTTATTAAAAGAAGTGGTTGAGTCACAGGCAAGGCAAGTCCTCACTGTGGTTTTATTGCCTAGACTGGTCTTTATCCTGGCAAAACTACAGACAGAGCTTATACAACAACAGGGCAGATTGCCCTTAGCAGCAGCTTTTTAAACAGACAGGAAGGCAACAGCCCTTGCAAAAACAGTCCACCGATAGATCGGAGAACAGAATCAGTCCGGCTCTCAGGCCAGACCTGGCTCTCCCACAAATGTTGTAGAAGAGAGCCTTATTGAGAGCCTTTTACCTGGACCGAGATGCAGGAATGTCTCTTAGAGGCTCAAACTACTCCTGCCCAATGTGCAGCCCATGCAGGGTTAAGAGGGACTCAGGATCTGGGATGCAGCCTCATTCTCTGCCAGAGTTCACTCTGTCGTTATGACATGCCACCTATGTTGTACCAGCTGACTTAAGCAAGTGAAGACTGGATAGACAGGTATGCAAAATCACAAGGACATAGGACAAGATCTGTTTTGTGATTACTTTAATTTCTTTCTCTTTTTGTTGTACCCTTATTCAAAATAAAACTGTAAATTTCATAATATGATCAGTGCCAGAAACGATACAGGAATTCCTAGAGCTGAGTGCTTTACAAAGCACTATCATCACCATTTACTGGCTAAGGTGCTTACCCAGAATCACAAAATAAATCAGGAAAAGATACTTGGTTTAGAATTCAGGTCTTTTGAGAACCATTGTGCTACCTAGTTTCTTGTTCAATGTTTTCTTTAATGGTGATGCATAAACATCATGGGATGTTAATGTGTTTAGGGTGTGGGAACACCAAGACTTAGAAGCACTATCATCACCATTTACTGGCTAAGGTGCTTACCCAGAATCACAAAATAAATCAGGAAAAGATACTTGGTTTAGAATTCAGGTCTTTTGAGAACCATTGTGCTACCTAGTTTCTTGTTCAATGTTTTCTTTAATGGTGATGCATAAACATCATGGGATGTTAATGTGTTTAGGGTGTGGGAACACCAAGACTTAGGACCTATCTTTATTGACCTGTTTTGGAGCGCCCACCACTAAAACACTGACACCAAAGCCATAAAAGAATGCTGCTGCAGTGCCAGCAGCTTGATTTCACTGGGGACTGTTCACTTTTGAGGATTGCTTTCCAAAAAGTCCAGGAAAGATCACATCAAGGTCTGGTCCCCTGCATAGTGTGAGGAGTGGTATCATCAGTGTCAATATCCAGTTCTCCCTGATTCACTGCCATGAAAATTGTGAGCTGTGACCACAGTGTTATAATGTGTGTTCTCTGTAGTAAAACCTTCTTGTCTTCTCTGGTCTGTCCAGGGGTTTGGGCCACGGAGCCTTTGGTGAGGTATATGAAGGTCAGGTGGCAGGGATCCCCAGCGACCCCACTCCCTTGCAGGTGGCTGTGAAAGTAAGTGACAGTGTATGAGTTATCATGATGGTTTCATGCACCTTTCACCCACGAGTCCCAATGCATTATAAAAATGAAGATGAATTAAGCGTTACTATAGTACTAAAGGATGTGGCTAGAAAGGTCGCTGCTCTGTTGCAACACTTTAATCCATCATAGTGATGGTACAATTTGTAGCATATGGGCTTGTGAGACTATTAAAAGAGGTCTGTAAGTAGTAAATAGGCAAAGATTTCCCGTACAGCTGCAGTAGGCTGCAGGTATGAGAAATAAATCCATCCTCTGCCCATCCTCCACATACTACACTTGGTGTGGTAATATGTCCAAAGTCTTTGAGTCAGAGGCCAAAAGTCTTCACAGGGCCAAGAGCAGCTGGCACATACGTCAAAGAGCCTGCAGGTAGGAGATGGCTGGTTTTCCGGGGATCTCACTGCTCCATTACAGGATGGATATGCACTGGATGTGAAGCTAAATCTTTAGAGACCCTGGTAGGGTTCTCCAGGCCTTCAGCAGCCTAGCTAGCTTGTTTTCTCCTAGAGGTTATGTAGCAGCACAGTCCTACTGCTGGTTACAGTTCATAGTCTTGCTGGGAGGTAGGAGTATTGAACTGTCAGAGAGCTCAGGAACTGTGGTCTTATTCCTCGTTCTCTATACAGTGGAGTCCCATATATTGAGCACTGTTCCCTGTGCACTCTGGGCTATTTCCTTTGCTGAGAGGAGGATGACAGTGGTGTTGATGGGCCATGTGTTCTGATCTTCACCTTTCAACAGGCTTCACAGTCTAGTTTAGTAATGGTCTAGCTATTATCTTAGAGTGAGGTTTCTTTTAGAGAAACAAAGATTGCTGCAGACAATGTTAGTGCTTTTGATTGTGCCAGCTGTTCTACATTTGTAAGTTTAAATATCTTCTCCTTGTCAACCTGTTCTTTCTTTTCCAGACATTGCCAGAAGTGTGTTCGGAGCAAGATGAGCTGGACTTCCTCATGGAAGCTCTCATTATTAGGTGTGTATGAATAACATGAACAGCACTTGTGTAGGCTTGCAAAGCCCAGCATTGCGAAGAAAAACGGTGCTTTGAGAGGTGATGTCCACGCAACACATCTATACAGTAGTTTTAGCGCATGGCTGTCAGTATTTTGCAAAGAGGGATAGACATTACCATCCTTTTCTATTCTTCTTACAAATGAAGAGGCACCAGATGATTAAGGGCTAAATTTTCAAGAGGGTCCGCACTGGTTTTCATTATCCAAAGTGAAAACTTTTAGGCCCAGTTTTCAGAATTGATAATAGGAGCCTTTGATTTCTCTTAGAGATCAGAACATGAGGTAAAAACAAATGTTAGGAGTTTGGGTTTGACTAGTCAAAACTAACAGATGGCATTGACTTAATGCTGCTGTCATGTCACGTGTCAGTGACTGAGTCCTAGAATCCATGGAAATAGTTTCCCATCACATTGAGGTCTGGAGAAATAAGGAAGTATTAGAGACTAGGCCTTGAGGAATATCCCATACATAAGCAGATCTCTGTGCCAGTATGTTATTTGGAACAACTCTGCCCTAACCCAGCTTCTGTCCCTTGGATAGGGAAATTAGGAGCAGACTTTTCTCTGTTATCAGACATTCTCTGCTTCCTGTGGCCCACAAGTCTTGCTGTAGCCCAAAAAGGATGCAGAATATAGGAAGAGGAAAAGCAGCCAAAAGCCATTCCTTCCCCACCTCTGTTTCTGCACTATGCAAGCAGACACAGAGTGCAGGGGTAGCACTTCAGCTTTATCCAGTTACCCTACCTTTGAGATTTGTTACTTTCAGGAAAAAAAAAAACACCATTCCCCACAGCAAAACATTTTGATTCTTTTCTGCAATTGTGCTTTTTGGATCAAAGTTGCTCCATAATTGAGTCTCCCTGTCTCCACAGCAAGTTCAACCACCAGAATATTGTGCGCTGTATCGGGGTAAGCCTGCAGGCACTTCCCCGTTTCATCCTGCTAGAGCTCATGGCTGGAGGTGACCTGAAATCGTTCCTGAGAGAGACGCGGCCTAGACCGGTAAGAAAAGAGAAAATTGAATTTTATTTAGTAAGCTGCTGCCACAAGGCAAATACAGAACTGTAAAAGAGCTGATCCATGCTGCTACTATTTCCTAGCATTTTAGAGGGTCAGAAAATTTCTGTTGCTAGAAGACCACTGTGGGGGCAGGACACAGATGTATAGGGAACAGATGCTGCTGGGATTATGCAGAGGTGCCTCATCCCTGGACTTTGCTAGATAGCGTTGCAGGTACTATCTGAAGAAAGAACAAAATCAAAGTTTAAAAAAAAAAAGTTAAACTCTACTCTTACCTTCCTCACATCAGCTGGGGGTGGGCTGGGGGGAAGCATTGAGCTAGTAATGATAAATCCGTTATTTAAACTGCTGATCAGGTGCATTTCTGTGGATATCTGTCAGTGCAAGTTTGACATAGGCAAGGAGAGAATCCGGCCTGAAGGTGTTTACTTAATAGCAAATATCTTTAGTCCAGAGTTTTAAAGATTTTCCCACTGAAATCAGCATCAATAGGAAATGACAGTCAGTTAGAAATGTGTGAGAAATAAATTATGACTTCTAGAAAGGAGTCAGTATTTCAGAAGAATAAAGTTTGCTCTGAGTCCCTGGATCAAAAAGGCACCCAGATGTTGTTGAAGTTTAGCACCAGGGCCCAGCTTAATATTTTGTCTCTATATTTCTTTGACACAGGACAAAATGCTGGATTTTATCAGTACAAGAGAGACACAAATTGGCTCTAACAGATATAAATAAGATTCTTCCTCAAGGCATCTGGAAACAGATCAACTTTATGTTTCTTCCTTGCAGTTTGGTTTTCAGACATATAAAATGGTCTGTGTTGCTCAAGAGCACCGCAGTCTTGGATAGGTTGCAATAAAATTGCTCCTGCCAGGATAAGGCGGCTAAACGTCCAGAAAGTCAAGATGTTTGAAATCCAAGCAAGCAGTCTTTATAAATAGAGGGTGGTTTTCTGCAGCACCTAGAGATGCTCTCGTCAGCTCATACAAATGGACTGAACTTGGTGGTAGGTGAATGGGGAAATTCGTGTTTTGCAACGTGGGCTGTGCTCTCACCTGGTGCAGAGCAAAACGGCATGAGCAAGGTATGCTGCCTGGTGGGTGCTTTGTTCAAAACTACCAGGACAGGTTGTGCTAGATGTGTGAAGTGGTAGGTGAAACAGGATGGTGTAGGGCAAGGGCATCCATCACTTTGCAATGGAAGCATCTTTTTGGCTCGTTAAATTAGAGAGAGAAGCCAGCTCAGTAACGAATCAGGATCTTGTGAGGAAACACCAAGAACATTAGTCCTGAACAGCAGGA